TTTTGGTTTTTAGTTTTCATTTTTTTTAATGTTTTGTAAGTACTACTGTACTTGCAAATCAAATTTTTTTACTAAAAATTATAATTTATTTGATTTAATCGAAATGTAGTATTAATTGCTAAATATATATACACAAAAATCAAACATATACAAAATGGAGCTTAAAGTAGTCATTTAACTTCAAAATCAGTTTACCCTTAAAGTTGATTGCATTCCAAAATAGAGAACTAGAATTAGACTAGTCCCTGCCTTGTTGGATCAATAGAAATCTTGACAAACCAAACCAAAATCTTACTGATAAAAAATCTCGCTGAAAGATCCAGCGGCGGATAAATTAAAGAAGGGACAAATGGGTCGAATCACTCACACTCCCAATACTTGAGCAGTTCCAAACAGCTAAAAGATAATGAAGAATAGATCCAGAGATGAGGAAATTAATTATATAGTATATATTAACTAACGATTAATTCGGCATACCAGATGGAGGACCTTTATTGGGACTTGGTAAGCAATAACTTCCACTAATCAGACCTTTTTTTTCTTTTTTTTCTTTTCTTCTGCTTTTGCTATGTCTTGGTAATTATTTGTAAAGGGTTTGTGTCCTTAAGATGCAATAAATGCTTTTTTTTATCATTAATTTATACAAAAAATAATAAAAATTAACATTTATTTTTGTGTTATTGTTATATGAATAATTTTAATTAGTCAATTAATTAAATTTAAATTAACTTTTATCATTTTCTATATATATTAATTATAAAAAAGTGCATTTATTGCATTCACAAAAATAAAGTGCTATCTTATTGCCAAAGCAAATATGTGATCTAGGCAAGTAGAGTAAGTCTTATTAAATAGAAGAAAATCGGTATATTCTCTTGTGTAATTGAAAAAAAAAATTATTAATTTTAGTGAAATAAAGGATAGAGAGAGGTTAAAAATATAATAATATAAATAATATTAATTATGCTAATGTGAATTAACATTAACAAAAATTACAAAATACTAAAAAAAAACTTTGTTATTAGTAAATAAGCATGCATGGGCCTGTCATGTCTATGGGGAGAGGCAAAATTTAACTTCTAGTTTGTTTGAAAAGGGTTATGGATGGATGTATGATAGGTCCCTATAACTCCCTAATTTAAATAAAATATTAACTTTGCTTTTCAAAGAAAAAAAAAAAGAAACATTGCTGTTGTACACGCGTCGAGGATATATAAAAGTTTATACACAAATAAATATTTCTTAATCATCTCCAAATTATATTCTTCCTAACTCCCTTTTCTTTTGTAGAAATATATTCTTCTTGTAAATCTTTTTCTTTTCTTTTCTTTTCTTTTTTTAAAATTATATCCTTCCTTGATTCTAAAGTTATGATTTATTGCAGGGGTACGATGGCGGATATCGGCTAATAAGAACCAATTGATGCGTCTGAGAGGTAAGCAATCAATGTTTTAAAACCCCATTTACCAGTCGATTCGTTTTTAGTATCGTCTCTATTTCAATTAGCTAGTCAACTACGGTAATTACAAAGGTTGACTTTTTAGTATTTGTTGAATATTTTACTTCTATGTATTGATATTAATTTATTTTATTAACTCTAAGTGTTAAATCTATTGGTAAGTAAATATTGTTTTATAGATTATATTTAGGATTCAAGTTTTGTGGTTAGCACTCAAGGGCTGACCGAAAACACTATAACTATAAATTAATACAAAAAATTTATTTTATTTGAATTAATTTTATTCTTAAATAAAATTAATTAGAATATATTTATATTTAGTAATGAAAGTAACATCTATAGTATATTTGGGTTGAGGAAGGAGGAGGAGAGAGCTTTTTAATTAATTAAATTATAACAATTCTAAATATCACAATCTAATTGATCAAAAATTCCTCCCCTCCTATCCATTCCTCTCAATCCAAGCATACTATTAAGTTTAAATAGAATTTATTTCTAGAATTCATTACATTTTCAGATTTAATTAATTTCAAATTAATTTCACTATTTAAATTTATTCAAATAACATATATTTTTCTTTTATAATCCATTTAAATCATGGAAGTTATATTTATTACAACATTATTTCTTTCTTTATCAATTTTATTTTGAATTTTTTTTAAAAAAATTTATTAACTAAGGCTCTATTAGTATATATGGTTGTGGTTTTGGATTTTTGGTTTTGATTTTTATAAATTTTACAACTCTAAATAAAAACACCTTGTTACCTTTCATGTATTTTATAATATATTATTATGATTATTAGAGAAATAAGAACAAAAATAATATTAATACTATTAAACAAGTATATACTTTTAGTTATCAACGTTAAAATTTGTTTGAAACAATTTTTTTATTTATGATTTTTAGTTTTGGTTTTTAATAAATGCAAAATTTATAAAAATCAAAACAAAAAAATTAAGATCACAATTATACGAAATAGAGCCCAAGGCTCCATTTAATATGATTTAGGTTTTGGGTGTTTATTTTATTTTATTTTTACTTACAAATCAAATGTTTTTTGTAAAAAAAAAAAAAACAATTTAATTATTTGATTTAATCTGAGTGTAGTATTAATTATTAAATATATAAACCCAAAAACCAATACCATACCAAACGAAATCTAAAAAAGTCATTTAATTTCAAAATGATTTTACACTTAAAGTTGATTACATTCAAAAAGAGAGAACCAGAATTAGACTAGTCATTCCCTTGATGGGTTAATGGAAATCTTGACAAACCAAACCAAAATCTTACTGATAAAAAATCTTGTTGAGATCCAGTGGCGGATAAATTGGAAAGGGAACAATTGGGTCGAATCATTCACACTCACAATGCTTGAGCAATTCCAAACAGCCAAAAGATAGGAAATTAATTATATAATATATATTAACTAACGATTTGGATGCTGATATGTACACACCCCTGGATCGACACCCTCCTTTGTGCACTATTTATAAAATTAATATTTTATAATTTTAAATTATTTACAAACAACTTAAACCGATTGCCAAACATACACCTTTGAGCAGTGCTAAGGACAACCGCACACAAACACTTGTACAAAGAGCAATGCTAAGGGTACTTGTCCCTAAGCATTCTCTTCAACACTTGCCCCTCTCTTGCTGACACGTTGCAATATATTTAAATGTCCAACCTAGCAACCAACTTTCGAGTTTCAATGCTTTTTTAGCGTTTGTTTTAGTTTTACTTTTTAGAACCCAATTAATTTAAATTTAGATTGTTATATATTATAAAATAAAAATTATTAGATAAAAGAGATCTCAAAATTAAAGATTTATTTTTATTTAATAATTAATATCATATAATTTAATATAATTTAAATTGTATAATAAATATTTTTATTTTTTATTTAAAACTCACTAAAGAAACAATAAATTATTTCATATATAATGCAATATGAAATATCATGTAATAAATGTTATTTTTATCTATCAATATCATATTGATGTAGCTTTTATTTTTTATAATTAAAATAATTAATAAATTGTAAAAAATTAATTTTTTAATTACTTACATAAGTAAAAGTCATATTTTATTTTTATCAGCAAAATTAACTTTATTAAGAAAAATGGAATACAAGAGATACTCCTATCCATTTAAATACACTGTACATAACAACCACACCTACGTAAATGAAATTATATATAATACAAAACAAAAATTACATGCTCAAACAGCCCTGCTTCAAAACTTGCATCCACATGCTTATGTTGTTTTTGAAACTATTTCAAACACCTTTTGTTCCTTTGAATAGCCAACACACAACCCACTGGGTTTAATTGCCAATCATGAAATGAAAAAACACACTCCTACACCTTGTGTTTGAGCTAGACAAAGGATTTACCTTGTATCGCATCCAACAGTTGCTGTCCCAAATTCCTCCCATTTTTAAATACTATAGTATTCCTTCAATACCAAATATACCAAGATACCAATAAAAAAATGCAAGAACCCATCTCTCTTCCTACAAGCCCTCCCAATCCAAATAGCAAAAAATCTGCTATTCCATCCACTGTATTTGGCAGCACCCCCTCCGTACCCCACCACTTTAAACACCTACATCCATACCAACCAAGATTCTCGACAAGTGCAAAATAAATGATCACTCTCCTCCATTGGCTCCTTACACAAACAACACAGCAACTCCACCCCTTACAAAACTACCCCCCTTCATTGTAAGTTAACGTTTGTGGCCAGTCTATCTAAGCATAATCTCCAACCAAAAAATTGACTTTTGAGAGAACATATTTGCACCAAATTAACTTACACACTTGCTTAGCAAGGATTCTATCACCAAAAACTAAGAAAGCATAAGCTTTCTTGACTTCATAGACACCATCTACACCATGTACCCACTTTCAATTATCTACCTTACCCTTTCTCAAAACCACATTGTCCAACAACTCCCACAAAACCCCCTGCTGACTTAACTCTCTACCCATTCTTTGCCTTTGCCAATCCAACCTCCATCTCCAACAATCTCCCTCCCACACCCTCATCTCCCAAAGCTTGCGATCCTTGTTCACTGCCAACTCAAATAACCTAGGACACACATGCCTTAATGTTTTATTAGCTACCCATTTATCCCTCCAAAAGCCCACATATTGCCCATCCCATACCTCCCACCTAAACCCTTTCACCAACATATCTCTTAATTTTTCTGATCTCCTTCCAATACTTATAATGTCCTTCCAAATATGAGAAATACATAAACCGTCCATAGTAGTAATATCCACCTCCCTCTTCCCCCCACAATATTTCTCCCACAACACTTGTTTCCATAATCCCCATGACCCATCTCATAGTCTATACCACCACTTACCAAGCAAAGCCCCATTTCTTCTACTTAAATCAAAAATCCCCAAACCCCCTGTCTTCTTAGTGTAACAGACAAGATCCCATTTAACCCATGGGATTTTTCTCTTAAGCTCAGGTCCCCCCCACAAAAAATCCCTTTGAATGCCATTTAACTCATTAACCACACAATTATGCAATAAAAATAAGGACATATAAAAAACAGGAACGGTAGAAAGTACCGAGTTTAGCAGAGTGAGGTGACCTCCAAAGGACAAGATGACATTTTTCCACGCAACAAGTTTGGACCGAACTCTATTAACAATTGGTTCCCACATCCTTCTCATTCCCGGATTACCCCCAATAGGCAATCCTAGATAAATGAAAGGTACAAACCCAAGCCCGCATTTCAAAACACTTGTTGGCCCTCTTAGCCAACTGTCTGAAACACTGAAACCATAAACACTGCTCTTACTGAAATTAATTCGCAAGCCCAACATCAACTCAAACCATCTTAAAATAATTTTCACCATATGTTAATTCTCACTGTCCGCATAGCCCAAAATTACTGCATCATCAACAAACTGAAGTAAAGAAACAACCATTCCCCTTTTACCAATCTCTACCCCATGCAACAAACCCTCAGTTTCTGCTTGTTT